CTGTGTGCTGAGGCCACAGCGGCCCCGGGCCCTGCGCTCAGACATGGACACCAGGGGCCCCGTGACCCCACGACGCGCCTCCTGGGTGCTCCTTGCTCTCTCCCCGGCAGTACGGCCTCTACTCTGCCTTCGTGGGGTGCTTCGTATACTTCTTCCTGGGCACCTCCCGCGACGTGACTCTGGGCCCCACGGCCGTCATGTCTCTCCTGGTCTCCTCCTACACCTTCCGTGAGCCTGCCTACGCCGTGCTGCTCGCCTTCCTGTCCGGCTGCGTCCAGCTCGCCATGCGGTTCCTGTGCCTGGGTGAGGCCCCGGGCCTTCCTGCGTGGGGCTGCCTGGGGTGGGGGTGGGGAGCTGTGGTTCTGCTCTTCCTGGGCAGCTAACTGAGGCACCTGTCTCCTGGGGTGCCCTGCCTTCAACATTGGAAAATACATATTTCTATTGATTTCAGGGAGGGAGGGAGAGGGAGAGAGAGAGACATCAATGATGAGAGCATCATGGATTGGCTGCCTCTTGCACGCCCCCTACTGTGAATCGAGCCCACAATCTGGGCATGTGCCCTGACTCGGAATCAAACCGTGACCTCCTGGTTCATGGGTCAACGCTCAACCCTGAGCCACGTCGGCCGGGCTGATCGCAACACTTTCTTCTTGGCCTTTCAGGGGCTATCCCTGTGAGGGTCCCTGTGAGGGCCCCTGTGAGGGCCCCTGTGAGGGTCTCTGTGAGGGTCCCTGTGAGGGTCCCTGTGAGGGTCTCTGTGAGGGTCCCTGTGGGGGTTCCCTGTGAGGGCCCCTGTGAGGGTCCCTGTGAGGGTCCCTGTGAGGGTCCCTGTGAGGGTCCCTGTGAGGGTCCCTGTGAGGGTCCCTGTGAGGGTCCCTGTGAGGGTCCCTGTGAGGGTCCCTGTGAGGGTCCCTGTGAGGGTCCCTGTGAGGGTCCCTGTGAGGGTCCCTGTGAGGGTCCCTGTGAGGGTCCCTGTGAGGGTCCCTGTGAGGGTCCCTGTGAGGGTCCCTGTGAGGGTCCCTGTGAGGGTCCCTGTGAGGGTCCCTGTGAGGGTCCCTGTGAGGGTCCCTGTGAGGGTCCCTGTGAGGGTCCCTGTGAGGGTCCCTGTGAGGGTCCCTGTGAGGGTCCCTGTGAGGGTCCCTGTGAGGGTCCCTGTGAGGGTCCCTGTGAGGGTCCCTGTGAGGGTCCCTGTGAGGGTCTCTGTGAGGGTAGGTGGGGCGCCTCAGCCCCCCGCACTCCCCTATTCTGCTTAGGAGCCAGGCTGCTTGGAGAAGGGCCCAAGGCCTCAGACCCAAGCCTGGCCTTCTGCTCTCCAAACCTGCCAAACGGTGTGCGCCCACCAGACTCAGCCCCAGCCCCACCACACCCCCTCTCCGGCCCATGTCCATCCCCAGCCTCCGTGCACCGCGGCCTCCGGGACCAGCTCAGTGTCCCCCTTGGCCGCCAGGGTTCCTGCTGGACTTCATCTCCTGCCCCGTCATCAAAGGTTTCACCTCTGCCGCTGCCATCACCATTGGCGTCGGGCAGATCAAGGTAAGCCTCTGGTGATGGACACGGCCTTGGGCCAATGGTGGTGGAGTCTGCGTGGCGGGGGGCGGGACGCACCGTGAACAACATGGCTGCAAGCCAATTACAACAGGGCCTGCCGGATGGGCGAGGTGGAACCAATGGGTCTCCTTGCCTGGAGGTCCTCCAGATTGGTTTGCCTGGGAGATGAAAATAATGGCAGGGCGTGTCATTGCCCCGAAAGGCTGTGGAATGCCCTCTCCTGGGGTTCACTTTGTCCGTCTTTGGGGGCTGGGTATGGGCAGGTGGTCCCTGGGGCCCGGTGGGCGGGGCCTCCGGCCTCACTGGGGAAGGGCGTCTGACCAGAGCCCCTTTGGCCAGAACCTGCTGGGACTGCAGCGCATCCCCAGACAGTTCTTCCTGCAGCTGTACCACACCTTTCGCAGCCTCGGGGAGACCAGGTAGCCCGCCTGCCTTTGCCCCCCGCACAGGGAAGCTCCCCCCACACCCTGCTCCTGGCCCCCCTCCTCCACTCTGGGCCTTGCTGCTCAAACGCGGTTCCCTAGGGCAGCCCTGTCGGCATCACCGGGAGCCCAGAGCTGCTGAGTCAGCCAGGGGCATGTGCAGGGGCAGAGTCGGCTCCCGGCAGCCTCTCTTGGGGGTTAGCAGTGGGAAGAGACCCTGTGATAGAGAAGGACCAGGCCCCTCTGAGAAGGGCCGGAGGTCAGTGTGGAGGAGGGGACACGGGGTACGGGGAAGGCACGCCCCAGTGCCCGGGCGACAGGGTGGCAGGTAGGGCCGTGATCGAGCACGGCCCTCCAGTGGAGGGGCCCTCCCAGAAGGGGCGCAGGTGAGAGGGACACAGGAGGTGCTCCTCGCTGAGTCCCGCTGGGAGCCGGGACCCCTCTGCAGGGAAGCAGAGGGAAGAAGTGATTGCCAGGGAGGCTGGGAGCGGTGCTGAGGCCTGGAGGCGTGGGGAGCGCGGTGGCGTCCTCCTCCCTTCTGATGGGGCCTCGGCTGACTCCCTGGAAGCACAAAGAGCCACCGAGAGAGGTTTCCGGCAGGAGGTCACCTGTGGGCCAGTCGGCGGTGACGGCGTCTGTCCGCAGGGTGGGCGATGCCGTGCTGGGGCTGGTCTGCCTGCTGCTGCTGCTGCTGCGGCTGATGCGGGCCCACGCGCCCCCCGTGCACCCCGACATGCCCCCCGGAGTGCGGCTCAGCCTCGGGCTGGTCTGGACAGCCACGACCGGTGAGGGCCTTGTGGAGGCCAGTCCCACAGCTGGGCCCCACTTCCCGGATGGGTGCCTGGGGCGCGGGGGCTGGGTGGAGCCACCCTGGAGACTCCCTCCCCAACGGCGTCTGTCCGCAGGGTGGGCGATGCCGTGCTGGGGCTGGTCTGCCTGCTGCTGCTGCTGCTGCTGCGGCTGATGCAGCTGAGGGGAGGGGGAGCTCCTGGGGCCATACTGCAGACTGGGCTGGGTGGGACTGTGGCAGGATCTTTGGCCTTCTGCCCTGACTCCTGGTCCTCAGACCACTGGTTTTCTGCCCTGCTGATCCAGGGGGGAATGCAGGA